CCCCAAAACCCCAAAACCCCAAAACCCCATGAGTCAGGTTATAGTATTTAATAGAATTTATTAGAATATTTATAATTAAATTACTAAACAAGCTTTCATCCAATTTTGAACAGCAAACTTTTAGCTTATTTACAGTCAATCAATTATGGGTTAATCATCTAGCAAGCTAGCTCTTAATTAAGTTCGAATCTCAAATCACTTCATTGATAAATATTGGTAATACAGAGAAGAAAACAAAGAGACTCAGTTTAAATTCACTCAGGAAGAAGCTTAAATTTTGCCAATCTAAGACATTTTCCTAATGAACAACAACTAATATAATTATAAAGAAGAAAAGTTTGATCTCACAAAATTAAAGATATTTATCAAGCCTCTTAGCCCACTCACAATACTCTATGAATTATAAGATGTTAGCAAATTCATTTAAGATTGCATCTTTGGCGATAAGAGTTAAGTTTTAGTTATGCTTCTCTACAAATTGCAACAGAGATTCTTAATTAAGCCTTTAAAGCAAATCTTCAGTTAAAAAAATCTCAGAGAGATACTTTTTTAAGTAGGGTAGAAAGTTGTAGCAGCCTCTGATTTATAAAACAATATTGAAAATTTTGATGATTAATTCTAGTATATCTAGTTTGACTTTGCACTTTGGATAAAAATTGTTGATTAGATGATATACTTGAATCAAAATTAAGAGAGGAGCATTATCTCTCTTGATGATAATGGTTAGAAAATTCAAGATTAGCTAATATCTATAATAACTTCTGGTGTGATATCAGAAATTCTCTCTATAGATAAAAGATACTCTCTATTCTAAAAATAAGAGGATGTTTTTACTGGAATAATTTCCAAGATCTAATCATTTTTTGAAATCTTCTAAAGAACAAAGGAGACAATAGCTTATTAGTACAAAGAGTTATTTCTTTTTAATTTGGACTTGCTTGATGAGCTCAAGCTTTTGATTGAAGATGAAAATGAACCAGAATTTACTGATGAAACATTACTTATTGATGCAGAACAAATGTAGAAGATATTCTAATCGATGCTTGCCAGAAATTCTGATTACCTGCCTGATTTTGTAGAGTAATAAGTCAATGAGGAGAATTTGGATTAACAGTAAGAGGAAGATGACGATATAATAGGGGAATCTGAAGTATAGCATGATTATGAAAACCAGAATTAGGACTAACCCAATGTACCTAGTGTATAAATTAATACTTACTTAAATCAGAGAGAAGATAGTGATTAATTCATAAGTCATAGCAATAATGATGATTATGATAATAACTACTAAAGATATGAAAGCTATCTAGATCTAGATTTATGATTAAATCACGTTAAGTCAAATTATCTAGCCATTTATATACATATAATAATTATTAATTTTCTTTCAATTATGCATCATAATTTTTAAATGAAATCAGAAACTCTATCATTTAGTCTATCAAAAATATGATGGGGTTTTGGGGTTTTGGGGTTTTGGGGAGATCGGAAGAGCACACGTC